CGGCGGCCATTTTGAAACCACCGATCAGCTGTTAAAAAAGGGTCACTTTGCCATGATTGCTTCCCCGCGATCATCGCAAAGCGAAAAATCCCCATAGGGACCATCGCAAAGCGATCGCTTTTGCGATCGCAAAAAGTTAGTCGCTAAGTGATTTCATCGCTCAACGGAGCAATCGCTATGCGAGGCACCACTGTAATTAGAACAGAAAAACCAGAAAATTTCTCTAAGTACAATACGACAGTGATATCTCGGGGGAAACAGTTCCAAGTCCTCTCCTCACAGCCGGACACCAGAAAATGCAGATATAGAAACTCAGTATATAGCATATAGTATATATATATATGCTCAGTATATAGAGGAGGAAAATGGGCAGCCCCGAAACCAGGGAGCTGGACAGGGGACAGATTGTATTTGTCCTCGGTGTGGAAGGGATTGTCACTCTCGAATTGGCCTTCTCAGCCACACTAGAAGCTATTCCAAGACCTTTATTCAGAGCACATTACCTTAGTCTCTTGAGACTGAAGAATGCTTACAATATAGCATAGTCTCTTGTTCCCTCTTGTGGCCAGCTTTGGTAATACACATTGGAAGTTATCTTCCTGAATTTTTTAATTTAATAAGTGAAACTGCAGATACTGATCCCACAGATATGGCAGTCCTACTGTAATCCAATTTGGACAGAAATTTAATGATTCCTTTTCCCTTTCTTTGTATGTGTAAGCTTTGTGAAAGTAACAGAATGAACCGTCTTTTTGTCTGACATGAGTTACTATAAAAGGCACCAGTTTAAAAATATGCTAAAATTACAGCTGGTAATAATGATGCCTATAGCCCTTCTGCCTTCTCCAAGAGTTCCAGTATAAACGTCCCAATCCATACTCACAGCCCAAATGTGACGCTTTACAAGTCACATCTTTCCTTTTCCAACTACTACACTATTGTGTCATAATAGACAGTCAACTTGTCCAACACAGGGTGGCATTGTCTCAGACAAGCCATTATCAACAAGACTGCAAAGAATGCAGTTAGAGTTCAAATAATATCAGTACTTCTATGCATATCTAGCTTCACCTTGTGATATACAGAGTAGTACAGAAAACTGAAGGAACCTTTTAAAAATGGATTATCTAGAAAGGAAGCTTTTGTTCAGAGCGTGTTACTCCAATGTTCTGATAGAACAACTAAATATTTGCAATGCAAACACAACATTCACAAAAAAACTCCAGTTTAGACATCAATGCAGACATTAAGTTGTTGTTTTACTTACAGACACAACACAATCAACCACAGGTTTCTTAAGTGCATTCTCTGCAGTTTCTTTTAACTTCGTGAGGAGCATTCCTGTTATCTGCTCAATGGTGAAATTTCGTTCTTCTTCCATATACATAACCTTTGTATAAATGGAGAATAAAACACACATTTCAATGTTACAACCTTCAAGGAAGTCCAAACAGATTTTACCAATGCTAAAATCTCAAGGTCTATAGATATTCCTCCTTCCATTTCACAAATCAGTACTGTAACAGTCTCTCTTAAAATAACATAAATTAGCTCTGTATCTTGGAGATACATTTCTGACATGGAACATTTATTTCACCTCAAAAAAGACAAACTTATTCAAATTTTGGAAAGCTTAAATCTGCCATTCTGAACAGCTGTGTTATAGTTTAAGAAAAACACTCATCCTTATTTCACCTTAATTTTTTTAGAATCACTCTATTTTCATGCTTATCAGTCAAACTGCTGTGTATTCTTATGGACAGGATCAACATGTGCATATTTGCGTCAATGTGTTAATTTGCATACTTATGCTCACCTTGATGCCAACAGAATGTGATGGCAGCTGGACAAGTTCATAAGCAAGCTTTGCTTTTTCATCTTGAACAAAGGGATCTGAAAATGCACGACCATGAAATCTTTTGAAGCCCTGCACGGTATTCTTTGCATTTGAAATTACCTAAATAAGAAAAAACATTTAGTCTCATCATACAGGGTATAATATTCATGTTCCCCATAATTTGCAGAATAGGTTAATGTCTCTTGTTGATTCACATCCTGTAGTTCTCTTGTGCTTTTATGCTATATTAACAGGTATATAAAGTATATATAAAGAGATATATAAAGAGATATAAAATACACACATAAAATATTTAACAATTCAACGTAAGAAACAAATACAGTCTTAATATATTCGCGAAGGCTTTCACAGCCGGGATCTAATGGTTGTTGT